AATTTATGAGAATGAGTGGAGCCTTGCCTCCACATCCCAATTAAGTATTAGTGACTAGATGTTTAGTCATGTGGCGTTATTTAAGAAACAAATAGTTGCATTCCAACGCTATTAGTATTCACAATATTAAGTAAGATTTCAGTTTATCGCGGCACCGACTATGAAGATGGCTGTCTTCTGGGTTGTTGCGCAGTGTTGTGTGATAGAAGTTTGCCGACGTTTCAGAGGTGCTTGCTATCTCTCCATCCAACCCTCCATCATCAGGCTGACACGCCCTGATGATGGAGGCAGAAAGCACCTCTGAAATATTGGTAAACTACTAGACCACACGGCGCAATATCCTAGAAGACAGCCATCCTTGTTCACAATATCAATCCAAATAGATTCTTCATGATATAATAAAGATGTTTTAAATATGTCCTCGTATGTGAAAGTATAAAATAGCCTGTCAGAAGTGTAATTAGTTGGACATCCGTACGGTTAAGTCTATGAAATAAACGTTCCTATATTCTGCGAGCGTATATAAGGACTTATGGACGTCACACAACTTTCATGCTTGAATTAATTTTGTTACATATGTAACACATTTACTTGAGAAGTGACAACACACAAACATTTTCTTATTGCTCTGAATGGTGTGGGAAGCAGTCTCTTACTTGGCTAGGCATTATCGTGTATGCAACCACATTGACATCATGGCGAGGCGGGTTGCATACTGGGGACATATTGTAGGGGTTGGGCGGTGTCCCGTTCCTTTTCTAACGAGGGAGGAGCCGCGCCACGATCCCGACCAATCATAGACGTCGTATTGTTCCCCATTCGTTACGGTCCACAACCCAAGCTGATACTATGAGACTCTGAACCTTATAAGACTTGTGGATTGTGATAAAAAATTTTGGATGAGGTTCGAGGGTTGGATGGGTGGTTGGTATGAAGGGGATTAAGGGAGGAGTGAATGGGTAAAGAGAAGGGGCAGTTTGAATTTGGAGGGGATGTAAAAGGAGAGAGTAAAATTTTCGTGTCACACCACACGGAGGGTCTGGTCCATGTGTGAAGTCTTGGCTACTGTGTGAGTCGTATTTTGAAGCCAACTTCTTTTTGTGAGACGTACGAATGTCGCTTTGAAAATATTGCAGTCAGAATTATGGCAAGTGTCTTCATTGTGAGGATTGTGACTCATGCTGTGTTGTGAAGAGGGGGCTAGGTTCGGTACTGGATGGGTGCTCTTGTGTTGGTCTTGCCATGATCGTATACAGAAGCGACATACCTCTGACACCGCCTCAGTCCAGCCCGGAGTCTCACGGACTATTTGGACCTGACTTGGAGCCCGAGATTCGAATCCCAAGGCACTGCCCAGCCGCCTTCCTCAGTGAGTCTTACTGTTTGTTTGTATCGCTTGACGTCAACATTTGGCATTTGGTTATGGGGTCCATATCGCTGCGTATAACATACCGGACCGTGATTTAATGGTGACTGCTATGATATTGACTACAAATAGGCTATGGAACTTTTTGTGTACCTCACGACCCATCTTTCGTAACTTTCCTCACTTTTAACTTGTACTCCCGTCAGCTGTTAGGTCTTCCAAGTGGCCTCTTTCCTTCAGCTTTTCCAGACAAAGTTTTGTATGCATTTCTGATCGCTAAATATAAAAAGTAGCATACGTTTTTAATTATGGCAGATGTAGTAATTGTTATATAAATCCTACCCCCAGCTGTAGAAACCAGAGATCAGACCTGTTTTGAGTTGTTTTTCTATCTTATTAATAAAACATATTATTTTTCAGAGGCTAAGTCTTGTAAGTTTCCGGAATTTGAAAAAGCTGGAGAAAACCGATTATGGGAATATTCACCATATGTATCCTTGGCTTGTTACTAGGGTGGTCATGGGCGGGACATGTAGCACACATGGTAGAAGTGAGAATTGTATGCAAAGTTTCGGTGAAAACTCCTGAAGGGCGGGAAAGGATCGTTTGGAAAATTTAGACGCAGCTGGGAGGAGAATATTAACACGAATTAAAATTGTGACAGCGTAAATTGGATTCATTTGTCTCTGTAAATGGCGGGGAACTTCTTTATTAAAACAACAAACTTTCTAGACGATATCAATCGTCACAAACATTCAGATTTCTTGATTAGTTGGGCGACTATTAGCTTCTCAGTATGTTCTTTGCTGCATGTAATTAGGTTCAATATGTTAACGACAACACAGGTAAGGTGTTTAGTCCACAAGAAACTCTCTTATTCTTTATACGCCTATTTATTTCCTTTGCCTCAATATTTTATGATAAATAGGTCGAAAAGTTTAAGGAAGA